TTGCATTTGAAAAGGGTACATGTCATGAGTAAATTACCTGTCGTTCCCTGAACTCAGTGTGCAGGTCTGGGTGTTTCCGCCCTTAGCCATGCATGTTTTAAAACATCGTTTACACAATGGTGCATCAACGTTAATTGCCTCTCCTTGCTCATTTGTTTTTATGCCGAAGTACTGCCATATAGCACTTCGCGCCCCTCGTTTGTCCACAAGTTGCGGGGTGGTGACTGTTACAGCAGCCATTCTCCTCTCCGTGCTCCTCTCTCTCTCTCTCGCTCTCTCTCCCTCTCCCTCTCCCTCTCCAATGTCTCTGCTATCTCCAAGCTTTCCTCCTGCTCCGTTTGTTGCTCCAGTCCACGCTGCTCAGTGAGCAGAGGACGAGGAAGCTGTTTCCTGCTCTGTTTTCCTCTGTTGCGGGCGGGCGCTGCGGGCGGGCGCTGCAAGTACCGGTCCCATCCAAATGCAGTATAGTACCATTTTAAATGCCTCAGTACCGCGGTACCATACTAGTACCGGTATATCATGCAACACTAGTCTGTACTGTACAGAATCTGGTTGTAATTTCGAAGGTGGCAGCCGCTGTATTCACAATATTTTGGCTTCACTTTTCCAAAGTGGTGGGAAGTGGTCACATGACATCCATATTTATATACAATCAATGGTGCTGATTAAATGAAATGAGCATTAATTGTTCAGACACTATTGAAAGAAAATTAAAAAGCTCCCTTGCAGTACGTTTCTGTCTTATGCTAGATATAAAATTGGAAGGTTTTTGGAGCAGTGCTGGTAATTAATATGATTGGTTCTCTCTCTCTTTTTTTCAGCACTTTGTGAGTGAACGCAAATATGATGAAGACCTTGGGAAAGCTGTAAGGTTTACATTTGATCTCGAACCGCTGAAGACGAGCATCGTGGGATTTGGATCAGGTACAGAATTATCTCCTTTCCTATTGATTTCTGGAAATACTCCCCAGTCCCACCTTAGTGATTCTGATCCTAATCCAGTCAACTCCCCCACCACCAATCATAAAATGCATGATTAAGTATTTATTAAGTAAGCTGTTCATTTGCAGCAGTAACAGAGTTGCTGAGGCATCTACAATCACAGCAGTTTCCGGCAGGCTGGAAACATGCTGACAATGGCTACTAAGCAAATTATTATAGTATGTCACAACAAGATCAAGATGACCTGTGATTATTCACCAATCAGCCATAACATTATGACCACTGATAGGTGAAGTGAATAACACTGATTAACTTGTTACAATGGCACCTCTCAGCGTGTGATCCTGAGGGAAATCCAGGTGTCCAGTAGCAACAGAAATAATTACCACAATCACAGCACCCAAAATAAAGGAAGCCCTTGAGTTTTATACTTAAAAGAAAGTATAAGAATAAAAATGCATAAGAGTATAGAGAGCGAGTGCAGTGTGTGTGTCTGTATTATAGAACCTGACATGTGCTTTTGTTATGACATAACCAGTGTTGTTTGTTTCATCTGTGAGTGGTTTTGGCTCATCAGTGTAGGTCAAAGTAATGCATTGTCATACCAGGCAATCAAAATTGCTGCAACTATACAAACATTCAGAATTGCTACACATTCACTCAGCTAAAGCAGAGAGAGATGTGTCCCATGAAGCAGGATTTTATGTCCTCTGGCATATTTTGCATTTTCCATAGATTTTGTGATGTTTGCAGCTTATGGCACAAAAACCACACAAGGCTATGTGAAGGGCTTGAAAAGTGTTGCCAAATATTGACTTCAGTTCCCTGAAAATGAAAGTGCTGCATTTTATTTACAAAGGCCTTTGAGTATTTGAGCTGGGCATAGACATTAATTCTTTAAGCCATAGTTGACAGGTGTTTAATTTAGTACAAACAAAGGCCCTTCCTACTGTGTATATTGACAAAACAACCACAGATGACTTGTCTTTTTGCATCAGTCTGGGGTTGTTCTGTACTCTTTAAAATCACTTATGGCATTCAAGTAAGAAACATAAACACTTCACGCTTAGTCGTGGTTAATAATCTATATACAGGGAATTGTTGTCACATGCAGCAGGGAGATGCTGACTGACAGGATATACGTGTCAATAAATGTACTTTGAGCGTTCCCTCATCCTGGTTTTTCTTAAGCCAGTGCATCTTGCAGTGACGTCACTTTGACACACACAGGGCAGTTACAGAGCTGTTTTATAAGCCTGGTCCCAGATTGTGCTGTAAATGATTTACCTTTTTTTTTTTTCTAGTTTACCATCCACGTATAGGCTACTCAAATCGGTCCCGTTGTAGCTCCACATCCTCTTCTGTCACCAGCCCAGGTCAGCTGGAAACTCCTCCTCCCCCCATCCAGACCCAAAGCATCCAGAGTGAAACCCGCCCCCCACCAACCAAACAGGTCAGCTGGAAAGGCACTCATGGCTCTTGTCAGACAGTCAGACCATGAAGCAGCCTCACACATGCTGATGAACGTGAGAGATGTAAATAATTTTTAGACACTCACTGACATGTAATTCTCCTCCCAGATTTTCCAAGGGAACAGGCGTACTTTCCAGGGACAAGGTTATCACTCAGGTGATCAGCGGTATAACGGCCGTTCCTACCACAACAGGAATACCGGTTATGGTGTCCACCGCTACCACGGTGATGGTGGCTCCTCTGGCCATACAACTCAGCAGTCCAACAACTCGAGAGGTCCCTCCCATTCCTCCTCATCCTCCTACAACCAAGACCGGGCCTCTCACAACGGGCTGCCCCAGAGGCTTCCGCGGACACACTGCCCTTGACGTTGGAAATCCTCCGCTGATGAAACCCATGTGCTAATCCTTGCTCCTCACATCCTCCCCTTACCCTGCACCCTCTCCCTCCCTACTAACTCCTTTCAATGAAGAATAGAATACAAGTTTACATATTTCCATCAGTTGAGCTGTAGTGCCACCTCTCTACATCATTCAATCCATCCTTCAAACTTGAAAGCTCTCACTGTTCTATAATCACGCTTCCTTTTCACATTTCTCCCATCCTGGTTAAAGTAACCGCTTCTGTCTCTAGGCCTCCTTTCACAGATTTCATTTCAATGCTATTGTCAGTCTCTGCTAATCTTTGCAGTTAGTCTGCCAGAGACCGACATGATTTCCTGCAACAATTCATGCACTATTGAAGTTGAACTCTTAGTACTATTTCTGATTTTGGCGTGGCTTTTGTCAGCTCTCTGATTTGCACCTAAGACCTGTTTTTGTTGGGATTTTTTTCCTGATTTCCCAGAACCATTTCAATGCCCTCATTGTAAAAAAAAAAAAAAAAAAAAAAAGTTCAGAAGTAGTTCTCATGTTTTTGTCACCATGAGAGTAGACATGCAGTTAACACTACAGACTATTGTTAATCTTTGCAAGGAGGAAAAAAAAAAGAAAAAAAAAAAGGAACATGTATCAAACTGTAATCCAGAGCTTTTCATATGGCTGCTACAAAGAGTAGGGAGCTTGTTAATGCTAGGACTTAGACATGTTTGAGAGTAACTCTGGGAATGCAGAAGTTGCTCTTAAAGGAATTGTTCCCAACATTTGGGAAATACGCTCATTTGCTGTTTTGCCGAGAGTTTAAACTGGAGAAGATCGATACCACTCATGTCTGTGCACCGTGTGTGACGCTTCAGCCAGAGGCTGGTTAGCTTAGCTAGAAGGCTGGAAGCAGGGCGAATCTTGGTCACTGGTACTGAAGTAACAAGTACTAGTACCTCTAAAGCTCACTAATTACCTTTGTCTTGTTTGTTTATTTAAAAAACAAAAAAACAAACCTAAGTGTAAAAGCAACAAGTTGCAGTTTTACAGTTGTGTGTCTGAGGGAGCAAGGCTGGCTGTTTACCCCTGTTTCCAGTCTTTATGCCCAGCTAAGCTAATTGTCTTTATGTTTACTGTCCACACAAGAGAGCGGTGTCTGTCTTCTTGTCTAATGCTCGGCGAGAAAGCCAATCATAGCATTTCCCACTGGCCTGCGGGGTTGTCGTCTGTGCTGTTGTTCTTGGCTGTCAGTTATTTTATATCAAAGAGAGGGCTCATTACCTTTTGTAGGATAATGTTAAATAGGGTAAACCTCACAACAAAGGACACTGTCCACATGCCGTTTCATAGTTGGTTGACATTTATTCAGATGAAATTTCTTCCACACGTGCAGTTTGTTCTGTTTTATTATATGCACATGAATGGCATAGTAATGACATGCTTGCCTTTAGTCACAGAGAGACTTCACACTTGCCTTTCTAGAAAAATGGAAGTCTGCATCATGACGGCTTTCTAAAAAAGGGGGCACTTGCAGATCAGATAAGCAATTTATAAATGTGTGAGAACGAGATGCAAGATCTACTCTTCCCCCTTTCTATATAATCACCCTTCCCCTCTGTGAAAGCAGAACTGATCATACTTATGAATGAGTTAAAAGGTTGGTGTTGATTTCACAGATCGTTTCTATGGCTGCCAAGTAGATGCTTCAAGGCTGTTGGTGGGCGTAGGTCTCTTAGAGTTTGTGAACAAAAAGCTGGTGAATACCTCATTGCTTATCTTTTGACATGGCCTGCTTTCAAGCCGCTTCCTTGCGGTGAACTTTTATTGAGCGACGGGAACCCCTGGTGATTCCTCATCTCTTATCACCGTGTAGTTATGTACATAGGCAGAGCTGCAAGGCAGTAGAGTTGTACCGGTTGTTACATTATCGCTGCATCTTTGTTATAATGTGTCGTCTTCCTTTGAGCAGATTTCTGGAGGAAAAGGATGAATTTAAGTTTCCTCTCCCTCGATTTGTTTCTTGTTGGAATTTTTCAGATCATAGGAAGAATGTGTTTATTTTTTATTTTTTTTGTTCCAACAATTATGTTTGTGATTGTGGAGAAAAGAGCGCGAACTTGTCAACAGTCTTGGGTAAATATGTGCTGAGACGTAAATGGGTATAGTTTGGCTTAAAAATAGATGGACGTTTTGGCGGGGGGTTGGGTGCTTTTTGCCTCCTTGTCTAGAGGCCGATGAGAAGTTTGAAACCATAGTCACAGCTGTGAGCAGCCAGTTAGTGTAGCTTACCATAAGGACTGGAATCAGGCAGCCCTGTTCGCCAAGAGAAGCTCAGGGAAACGGCTGTGCACGGCAGTTAACCAGAAGTACATTGGCAAAACCAAAAAAATAACAGTTTGAAAACTCTTCTGATAAAGCATCCTTTACTTGTTTTCAAGTGTGGAATAGGCTAATTGGCATCAGGGTTGTTCAAAGCACAGACTCTGATAGAAAACGTACAAGTATCACAAAAGTCAGCTTTATGGTTTATGAGTTAGGTTTTTTTGGTGTTTATGTGAGAAAAGACACGCCAGCGTGCCGCTGCTTTTACTTTATTTTCTGTGTAGATGTAACAGAATCCACCAACCAGCATCTCTAAAGCTAATTCATTAAATCTTTAATTAACACATTTGTTTACTCCAAACATAAACGAGTTAATCCAGCCATGGTGTAGTCATACGTGGTATCAATCTTCTCATCTAACTCTTGGTAAGAAAGCAAAGTAGTGTCTCCTTAAATGCCAAACTATTCTTGAAGTACTTTTTGAGGCGATAACTTTTTACTTTTACAAATGTCACAGGTTTCCTCAGTGGTTCTGTTCTGCCCCACTGGTGGGCTGCAGGACAGATGAGAAACCATTCTGCTTTTACTCCAGCATGTCTCTGCCACTGATACTAGACTTGCTCAGAACTCAGTGGTTTTCTCACCTGGGATTTTTTCTGTCTCACTTTAACCACTTTGTCGTTTTACATTCCAGACTGTAGGAACATTAGGTTATCGCCAAAGAAATCATTTCATCCCGTTTTCCTTTCCTTAGCCTGTAAAGAATTCCAAAGGGGATACATCCAATACTTTACCATGTATTCTTTCCACCCTGATATTGTTTCCTTATTCCTTACTGTATATACATATATGTAGCTATATAGTTTTGTGCTCACATGGGGCATTTTGTATGTGATATTCATGGTAGGCATAATGAAGGTTAAAATGTAGTTCATTCATTCTTCCAGTAGACCTTGTGTCCTCCTTCTCAAGACAATGTTTCTGAGACAGCTGTAAACTCAAGTGCCTTTTCTCGTCTCCCGCCTATTTGACACTCCCACCACCAGATTATGGACCAAAGACATCAACCGTCCCTGACACCCTCTCTTTCTCCCTCTCACTCAATGGCACACTTTTCATTTACTACGAATAAACAGTTTGCAGTACTGACGGTGTATGGTAGTTTTTTGTTTTTTACTTTTATCCACATGTACTGGAGGGATGCTGCCTGTCAGACTGCACATCAACAGATCAGGGGATGACACACAGGTAACAGGGTTTTATGTCTGTAGCTGTAATGTGACCGGTGATCCGGGTATATCGGTGTTCAGAAAAATTAGAAGTAGACCAGAACAAAACAAACAAAGGTGTGGAAAAAGGACAGCAGAGGGAACAGTTATAAATAAAATAAGTTTAAACTTTCTTTTTGAGACAGATTTCATCCATCAGCAGACCAGAACAAGTAACTGAACTTAGGTGAAGTTCTGTCATAACCTAGACCTTCACAAAGTGCATAATTAGTTTTTAGTCAAAGGTGGTAGTGTACCGACTAAATCACATTGAAATGTTTGTTTTCCTTTATTTGCAAACACTTACAGGGTCAGAATATTAGAAACACCTCGATGCATCCTCAAATATGGTTAACTGTAGAAAGTTGCACTGAGGTAACAATTGGAAAATGTTTAAACAAAACGCAGTAAAAGGTTAATACGAGATAAGGCAGCTTAAAACGGTACTGTGCTTGTGAAGGTTTATCCTTGTGGCTGCTTTTAGAACACGAGTCTGTAATTACAGTGCAGGTTTGCTGCTGTTGGAGCAGGCTCACCTGACTAACGTTGGGTTCGATCACACAAAAAGGAGTTTGGATGGGGAAGAAATTCTGCCCTGATCTGTTTTAACTCATTCTACACTGATCAGTACATTTAACAGTAGCTAATGTTGTGTGAATCTTTTCTGACCTATACGACAGCCCTGCAGCTGCAGATGTAAATCTGCAGAGGCCTCAGACAAAATCCAAGAGTTATGTCCTCCTGTCACAGACATAAGTATGGGAGCGAAGGTCAGACATCCTCCCATTTCTTCCTCCAGCACTTCATGAATGAAATCCCTCCCTGCTGAGCGGTGAGTCCCGGATATCGTTTAGATTAAGTCTGCAGTCCTCCATGTATTCTCACTTGTGTTTGTTTTATAATTGATTTATTCATCCACTTTTCTTTCAATAATAAACTATTTAATGTGCAATTCCTGTGAGTTCCTGTGATGAAAGATTCATACTGTCGATTTTTAGTTTTCACCTACACTTTAAAAGTCTTCATCTGAAAGCACTGGTTTGGTTGGCGCAGTAAAAACAACATTTTCCTGTCTGGTTTTCTAATATAAAATATGAAGAATATTTAATTTGACTGATGAGGGTCATTATTATAAAGATAGTGTTTTTGTTTGTTTGGTAAGTACATGTTAAGTACATCTTGTCAGTCAGAATGAAATATCCTGATGTAGAGTACTTTGAAAAGTGCACTCATATGTCATCATAAACCACATTATTATGATTTACCATTTAGATTCATTCTGAAGATGTTAGATATTACCAGGCATCTGAGGAAAAGTACAACCGGGTCATGTACAAACAAATGTTTTCTTTTTCACAGATTTGACACCACATAAAAAAGAAGACAGTTAAAAAAAGGGGAAGTGGCAAATTTACTGAATCTCAAAACTCAAAACTGCTTTGTGTGGTCACACAGCTTTCTCCTTCCCATTTTTATTCAACCACCAAACCTACAACTGCTTTTAAGAGAAGCACATTAAATCACATTTTTGACCATCTTTCCCACATTTTCACACCGACTCATCTATCTGGGTGAAACAGACCAAAATGCCACTGAAGCAAAATGACATGTTAAACATGACGACCAACGTTTACCATCCAACCTGACAGCACTGGAGAGGATCTGCAAGGAGGAATGGCAGAGGATCCCCAAATGCAGGTGTGAAAAACTTGTTGCATCATTCCCAAAAAGACTCATGGCTGTATTAGCTCCAAAGGGTGCTTCTACTAAATACTGAGCAAAGGGTCTGAATACTTATGACCATGTGATATTTCAGTTTTTCTTTTTTAATAAATCTGCAAAAATGTCAAATTCTGTGTTTTTCTGTCAATATGGGGTGCTGTGTGTACATTAATGAGGAAAAAAATGAACTTAAATGATTTTAGCATATGGCTGCAATATAACAAAGAGTGAAAAATTTAAGGGGGTCTGAATACTTTCCGTACCCACTGTATCTGGTTTTAAGGACAAATTCTGCTCTGGTTAAAGAAATATGGAATTCAAATGGAAGGAATTTTAGTCCACAGCAAGAGCTGATGAATACAAATGTTAAGTTGTGTAACTTTCAAAACCCTTCACATAATTTATTTACACTTGAGAGGATTAATAGATGCTGGTCTCTTGTAACGTGTCTCAGGACACTTTACAAAAGTTCAGACATTACTGTTACTATATGCTACTAAAGGTTCTGTACCATTTTGGAACGACCTGATGTTATGAACAGTCACCGGTAAACCATCCATAACACTACAAACTCTCCAGAGCGCTGGGAAGCACTAAAGACTTACCTCATCAATACATCTGAATAGACTTCACTGAAAGGTCATGAAGTTTCTTCCCACTTCCTGGTATTAAACACAAAGTGTCTTATAGTGCTCATGGTATATTTATTTGCATGCACCAAAAAATGTTACATTTTATATGAAAAAATGTTTTTAAAAAACTAAGTTTGTGTTTGACATGATTAAAACAATTTCGTCACCCTGACAAGAGACCTCTGTTAACCCGGTACAATGCAAAAATTAATGCAAGTTAAAAGAAAAATACGCCACTGAAACCTTCCCAGTGGGAACATGTCAGGGTGCAGCTCACAGCCCCATCACAGAGGGAAACACAGCAGCACCTGTTGGACGAGGGAGAGTGTTTTCAATCCACACCCACACACTTTCTCATCTAAACTCATCACTACTTCATCAACATCAGCCTAAATCTGATTCAGTGTTAAGCCGTACTTTTTGGACTACCTTGACCATTTCCTGTATCCGAGTCCGGGACTTTCCAGTCCAGCTGGCGGCCTTTTTCATAGAGTCCCTTCAGGACCTTCCTCACTTCGTCACTCCCGCCTCCACGACTCAGCTCCAGGTACTTCCTGTACAGCTGCAGAGCGGTGCGTGCATCTTCTATGCTGTCGTGGGTTTCCCCCTGGATGTTGAGGTCTGTGAACAGCAGCCACACAATGAAGGAATCACTACGCACTATGATTTCCACAGAAACAGTTCAGCTATTTAGCATCACATACCAGACAAACGTTTTAATTATTTGTGAAGGCACATGAGGAAGTAGACAGAGCTCAATAGTAAATATAATATAATAAATAAAATATCTAAGTGGGTTTACATATCTGTACAACAACACAAAGATGTTTTGACCACTGACTTGTTCTCAGAATTGACCTCAAAATGTCAGATCAGTAAATAAATGCCTCAGTTACTGCTGAGTTATTTTTGTTTTTTTTAAGTTCATGAACTAAATGTGTTAATGTGAAGAAAGGTTCATTTTCAGGGTCCAACACTTGTCAAGAAACAACATTAACTGATTCTGCTTCAGCAGTTAAGGGGAATGGTGGGAAAGCTTAGGTGTCAATGTTAACAATATAAAATAGCAACAGGCTCTCCATTTGTCTGAGCCACCTATTGTTGTGAAAGGGTGATATTTAAATCTTTAGCCCTGTGTAAACCCCCCTCTTTGTGAAACCTAAGTCCAGGTGTATCTTAAAACCTACCACATGTACACTTGTTTGTTAAGCCTGAACTTGACTCAGTAACTGTTTAAAACTCAGTTTCAAATTAGTGAAATTTTAATTCTATTAGTAAAAACACAAAGGATTATTCATTCCTTTGCCCATCCAGACAAACTGGACCAGGCCTAGATCAAAATCCACTATGTTAAGGATTGTCAGATGTGGTCTTCATTAACAGGGGTCTGTTTAAAACACTGCTTCAGCTTTGTGAAACATATTTGATGTGTGACCTGGTCTCAGAGCTAGACTTGCTCTGTTGTTGTCATCTGGGCTGAAGAAATGCTGAAAAGTTACCATTTTTTTATTTTCATTTAAAAACGAGGGTTTCTCAAAGCATTATAGCTTTAACTACAAGTCGAACACCCTTTTCCCACACTAAGTGGATCTAAAAGACTGAGAATCAGTCACTCAACATTTCAAACAAACTTCAGCTGATGCTCAGTGGAGAGATACAAACAACCTCAGACTTAACAGTGCAATCAACCTTTTCATTTCCAGCAGGCACACTGTCTTCACCAACCTGAAGCGGAGTGGGGTGTATTCAAAAGGAGTGGGAACCCTGACTGCAGCTGCTACTTCTCGATTCAAACATTAACAATGTGTAATTACCCAGACCTTTGCATACAACTGTACGTGCAGCTGTACTGGTGTACATGTTTCAGCCCCGTTGTTTCAACTTACCTAGAAAGTACCAGGCAAGAAACCTCAGAGAAATCATCCTCTTGCGGGGTAAGTGGAACAGGTACACAGTGTCGATGACTTGGTCTTTGAGAACCTTAAAAACAGCAAGGAAACAGAAACTTGGACTCAAAGGGAAATTCTGTAATGAGATGCCTTGCAAATAATAGACCTGACTGCACCCCCGGCGACAAAATAAATGTGACTTACAGTCACTGTGAAACAACATACCAGTAAATTAATAACCCGGAAGTCCTTCTGCAGGCCGTGACCTACAAATCGGACTCCCGTGTCAATAAGGAAGCGCAGCTTCAGGTAGGTGGACTTCAGAGTGGTCAAATGTTTTGAAGAAATCTTTGCATCCAGGTCTCCTGGTTTGATGCCAGAATACTGCGTTAGATAGTCGACCACCTGGAAGAACCGACAAGCCTAAGTGTTAGTGTACACACGAGCAGTCGTTTCTTAGAATTCATTTAGAAACATCCCCTCTTCGGGGTTTATGTTTGACTTTGAAGCTTTTGTTGCAACTGATAAATACACTTTTCTATCAATGCTATTCAGTTTTATTTGTATAGCTCCAAATTACAACAAAGGTCATCTCAGGACACATTACCAAGTCAGGTCTAGCCCTTACTGTTATTATT